CAGGGGCGTAACTAGAAATCACAGGGCCCCATAGCAAAATTTTGTATGGGGCCCTGTGATTTCTAGTTACACCCCTTGAAGAGCCCACATAGCTCACCTGAGGGTGACCCTGCAGAGCCCACCATAGACGCCCTATGGTGGGCTCTGCGGGGTCACCCTCAGGTGGGCTGGTCACACTCCTTACCTGTCCGCCTCTTCTTCCTCCGTCTTCCCTCCTCCGTCGCCTCCTCCTCTGTCACCGGCCCCGCCTCCTTCTCTGATCCTGACCCCCCGGGGCCCGCCTCCTCCTCCCCGCCACGTCCAGCCTCCTCCACCGCCTCTGCTGACTCTCATTGACTCAGCAGCGGCAATGGAGAAGAACGCAGCGCTGCACAGATCACGGTGATCTGAACAGCGGTGCGTTTGAACCCATAGCTACCCAGGCGGCCCGCACGGCATCAGGGGGGTGTCCTGGCCAGGCCCCATAGCGGCCACCTGGGTCGCTATGGCTATTGTTACGCCACTGTGTACAGGTCATTCACAGAGGGAGCAGGGGCTAAAGGGGTTAATGTACAGGTCCCATAGTATGGGATGGTGAAGATAAGGGGGTTAATGTACAGGATAAAGGAGGTGAAGGGGATAAAGCACAGGTCACATACAGTGGGAGAATGGAGGTGAAGGGGTTAATGTACAGAGGTGCAGGATAAGGAAGGTGAAGGCAGTCGTGGAACTATCGCCATAGCAACCCAGGCAGCCGCTATGGGGCCCGGGGAACAGGGGGGCCTGGCCAGAACGAGGAACAAAGGGGTCCCCCTGATGCTGTGCCGGCCGTCTTGCTTGCAATGGCATCTCAGGTTGCTGGCTGTCACTGGCGGCTGTGAGGAGGAACGCGCCACTGTCCAGATCACTGTCAACCTGTCAGTGATCTGTGCAGCGGCGCAGTCCTCCTCACAGCCGCTGCTGAGTCAGTGACGGCCCGCAGCAGAGAAGGAGACTGGGAGAAGGCCGGGGCCTGGCGGTGACAGCGGAGAAGGAGGCGGTGCCCGACGGCAGTAGCAAAGGAAGAGGCCAGGCTCGCCGGCGGTGCAGAAGAGGGAGGCTGGCCCGCCGGCGACCAGGGTGGAGGCGGGGCCAGGGGTAGAGAAGGCTGACAGGTGATCGGGCCTGACAGGTAAAAGGTGTACAGGGGTGTGACCAGCCCACCTGAGACCCTGCAGAGCCCAACATAGAGAGTCTATGGCGAGCTCTGCAGGGTCACTCTCAAGTGGGCTGTGTGGGATCTGAAGGGGGGGTAACCAAAAATCAGAGGGCCCCATAGAAATTTTGCTTAGGGGCCCTGTGATTTCTAGTTACACCCCTGGGTGAAGGTGTTAATTTACAGGTCGGAGCAGAGACAGAATGGAGCATTTGTTTGCTGTATCATTCCTGGAAGCTATGATTTAAAATCCCGCCACCACATTGTTTTTTTCCTAATAAATATCACATGAATCTTACACAATGATAGGAAATCCAACTCTGTAGATTTTATCACAAAGGGAAGTTCTTACTCTTTGCAGGTGATTGGTCCTGGTTTCTGCCTGAATGACATCTCGGGGTATTTATTGTCTAATTGAATATTTAATGCCAGACCAATAATGACATCCCCTTCTGCAGATACCCCCTTCATATCTTGTGTTTGCAGGGAGCAGCTCTGTCCATTGGAATAATTGTATGTTGGAGAGAAGATATACAAAATGAGGTGCCAGGGGGCCTTCTGAAAGAGGGTCACCAACCTGAAACACAAAAACATGGCGTTGTCTATTGTAGTCATTTTCAATTTGATTGATTGTTTGAGTCAAACAGTAAAATTTACTTTGACCCGATTTGATTGAAAGCTCTAACTGAATGACATTCACTTTATGTAAAGCACCGTGTATCATAAACCATTGTCTTTTTTTCAATTCTGTTGTAATCTGGGTTTCCTAATGGTAACAAAGGACCAAGCCTGTGCAATAGGCATTGGCACAGTCACTTGTGGTCTTCACTGGTAGAGTGGTGAGAACACAGGAGCAAATAAGCAAGCTGTGTGACCAGGAGACAGGGAAAAATAATAGAATTCCGGGGTGCATGAATAGAGGGGAGGTCCTGATTCCTCTATACAGATCTTTAGTTATCACTAGAGGGATCTCCAGCAGGAGGAAGGAGGTCCTGATTCCTCTATATAGATCTTTAGTTATCACTAGAGGGATCTCCAGCAGGAGGAAGGAGGTCCTGATTCCTCTATATAGATCTTTATTATCACTAGATGGATCCCCAGCACGAGGAAAGAGGTCCTGATTCCTCTATACAGATCTTTATTATGACTAGAGGGATCACCAGCTTCTGGTGATAACTGTGTCAGTTGCTTAGGTCAGATCTCAACAAAACATTAATGCCCTCAAATGGCTGGTGTCATAGCTGATCACATGAACAGCACCATGGCAACTACAGATCTAGATAGAGGCTAAGAAGGTTCCTAAATATAGGTCAACCTTCAGACAAAAAATAAATGGTAAAAAAAGGTCAGACATGATGGAACACTTGGTCTCTCTCTGCCGTCACTCCTCTATGTTTCTTGCTGTTTGTGGACAGTTTAGTGAGTGATTAAAAACTGTAGAGCCAGCACACGATGATCTTGAAAAGAAATTCAAACTTTTTTTCATGCCTGATGAAAGGACCCTGAGTGACCTCAAAACGTTGCTTTATGACGAGATGTGTGTACATCAATACAATGACCACTCGCTGAAGATTTTACTTTGGTGCTCTGGTGATATATTTTACTAACATGTAAAAAATCCGGGAACCCAAGGTAGATGGATCAAAACATGTCAAAATATGTCAGGAATACCGGCACAGGTGACCCCACACCTGCACAGGTACCCACACAGGCAGACCAAACACGTGACCACACAGGACAAGGCAGAATGTAGGAAATATGGTTTTAATATGCCAACCAGAATAATACAACAGAAACAACTCTTAGCAACCAACTACATTTAAACAACACCACATGCAAGAAGAAACAGGCAAGCACACCCAGGGAGCAAAGCAAAACACCAGGGGAACTAAGGGACAAAAGGTCAGGGTACAAGGAGCTAACAGGACTCAGGAACAAATTCACCGGTTCCTGGCTGCCATGTCCACTTCCAGTGTGAGTTCATTCATGAACACTACTTATGCTTTGTGGTGATACACAACATTTATGTGTGATGGAGGAGACCATCTATAGAGAGTGTGCCTTCTATGGGGGTTTGTTTCATGTATTAGCATCATTAGTTTTACATTGATTGGCAACTTAGTTTTCCTCCTTGCTTCTGCCGGCTAGCTAATTAGTGTAAGGATTTTGGGAACCTTTTTTTTTTTTTTTTTAAACTGAAATGGATTAGATTGGGATGCTTCTGTATGGAACCCAAGCTAATTTTTAGCAGAAAAAAAATAAATTCCATAGGCAAATATGCTCAGTTGCTGAGACTGTATATTATGGCTCTGTTCTGTAACACCACGTACAAGTATAGGGAATCCCCTCAAGCATAGTATTCAAAATAACGATGCGTTTTTAATTTTGCCATCAAAGCAGTATGAAAGGACGTTCTAACCACTATAAAACCACCTCTAAATTCTAAGATGGGGTGAGAGCGGTAGTCCAGATCTCCAGCATCCTGTCAACACAGGGCAGCTTGATATAGTTCTTCTCACATGGCAGTCCCCAGCATCCCATGCCTTCTCTGACAGTAGTTTGCCTATAGGTGCTAAAAATGGCCAAGTGTTACAATATTATTTCCTCCCCCCCTCCCCCCCATAGAGTTTAATGGATTCAACTCTAAATTCTAAGATGGGGTGAGAGCGGTGGTCCTGATCTCCAGCATGCTGTCAGCACAGGGCAGCTTGATATATTCTTCTTCAATAGGAAAACAATATTCTTCTTTCTTTTTTGCAGCCTGACTGCATAGAAACAATAACACATATATATGGCTTGAATTGCACTTTACCCACTAGGCCCAGACAAAAGTACATTAACCCCAGCAATACTTTATTATTTCCTTGATACCTAAAAAGATCATTGCAAGGCAACAGGCAAATACTATCACAGCATACCTCATCGTGCAATCTATCCGATTAATGTGCGATCAGATGGATACTGCAAATCAATACTCCTAATATATATACATGTAGATGTACAGTATTCCCGTCTGATATATTAATAGAAGTATACCATAGGGATCAGAGAAACCTTGACTATAGGCACACTGATAGTAAACGGTGCTCTTGGGTGGAATGGGTTAATTATAGAAAGTCGCTGCTGGACACGTCCGGTGGGCTTTCTGTTCCTAGAGAATGGAGCTAATTCCTCCCAATTATCTGCAACAACACAGCTGATTTCAGCCTAAGGGATATGTATCATATAGTCCATTGTTGTTTGCAGTGTATCTATGTATGAAATGTATATCAAAGCTTCTCAGCTTGATTGGATATACAACAATCTAATGCTGTTGAATGTATCAATATGATGATTGATCATTAATAATCACGATAGGATAGATAGGATAGATAGGATAGATAGGATACATAGGATAGATAGGATAGATAGGATAGATATAAAATAAAACCAAAACCATCAAAGAGCCAACGCAAACCATGTTGCTAGAATTTCTTTATTCATCTCCTGAGCATTAATGTATTTTAACACTGATATTTTGTGCATTTTTTTCTTTTAAACACAATTTTAATGAAGCTGGCCACACACAGAGCGTTGCTCTACAAGATTAGCGCCATTTTGGGCCCATTCAGGACTAATTAACACCACAGTGTGCACATTATCAATCACATGTATGCATTTCAATCTGTTTTTCATGTCAAAATCCATCTGCACACCCATCTCATGCTCATGGCTAAAAACAGGATCTTTGCAATGGGGTCTGAAAATTGAGTTTCAAAAGATCTGTAAACTAAAATAAAATCTTTTGGAGGTATCAGAAATATGCAACACATGCATCAACACCTAATAAAATCATTTGGCATTTATATTATTTAATCAGAGTTGTTAGTGAAGAGATGTTTGCGTGAGTTCATGCTCGGGCGGAAGACAATGACATAACATTTTGGGGCAAACATGAAGCAGAGCATGGCCCAGCTAGAAGACAATATGGCAAATACCTCCATGGCTACGGTGTATTTGCCGCTGGTGCTGAGCGATGCTGGGATATAGGAAATCCAGACACTGAGAAAGGCAAGCATGCTAAATGTTATAAACCTGGCCTCATTGAAGCTATCTGGGAGTTGTCTAGACAAGAAGGCAACCACAAAGCTGGCCAGAGCAAGTAGACTCAGATACCCAATAGTGCACCAAAAGGCAATGAGTGATCCTTCATTACATTCAACAATGAGAACTTCCACTTTGGCATTCAGATTATAGGTTGGAAAGGGTGGTGATAGAGATAGCCAAGCGACACCTGTCATCAACTGAAGAAGGGTTCCTAAGCCAATCACTGTGTATGAGACTTTAGGGCTGGCCCATTTATTTAGGTCACTGTTAGGCTTTGTGGCCTTAAAGGCAATCATGACCATGAGCGTTTTGGCCAGGATACATGAGACACATAAAGCAAAAACCATTCCAAAGGTCACTTGGCGTAGGAGACATTTTTCCCAGGTAGGGTAACCAATAAAGGCCAGCGAAGAAAGAAAGCAGAGTGACATGGAGACCAGGAGAAGGCAACTGACACCGTAATTATTGGCTCGGACTATGGGAGTTGTCTTGTGATAAACCAATATGCCGAGAACAGCTAAAGGTATCACAGAGGAGGTAATGCCAGCGGACAATAAAATGACTCCCAAGGTCTCGTCATAAGAGAGGTACTCGGTGAGCTTTGGTAGACATCTGTCTTTTCGTTGGCTTGGCCACTGATCCCAGGGACACTTGAAACATTGAATGAAATCTGAAAGAGATGAGAAATATTATAATTATCGAACTGGAGAAATGTCTCTGCTCAGATCCAAAAAGCTTACATGTGAAGTGTAGAGGGCTCTGACTACATGTTAACCCTCTGCACACTGCTATACACCCATACATACTTCCAGCAAATCTGGAGATGGATCTCTTTTACACACAGTTAGCCAGCTTCACCATGTATTGCAGAATATATCAATCCAGAATCCCTGTTTTTATGCAGATTTTCTCATGAAATATGTAACGGTGTACAGCAGTGTGCAGAGGTTTAATCCAAGCTTTTATTATTATCATGTGTGTAAGAGACTTACCTGCAGATGGACTCCTGCTCAAAAACGTGCACGCATACAAGTATGCAATCCATTGCCCAAAGTTCCTGGAAAACACGCTTTAGAGCGTGAACGCGCGCATACGGGACGTTTATGCACAATAGTGCACGTACGTGAGCGCGCAGAAAAGCACCCATTAGTGTACAGGTGCACGCTCATTAGCATGCACACTATCCTATTTAAACAGACACGAAGCCATGACCATGTTGCTGAGTGGTCTTCAGCTTGTCCCTGTGTGCCCTGTACTCTGTTCTTGTATCCCGACATCCTGTGTATGAACCTGGTGTAGCGCCCTCTTAAATTGTCACTACTAAATCTAGTGAATATCTGGGTTGTAACTAGTCTAGATACTGATTATTCAGAACTCTGCATTCCATAGGTGTCCCTGAGTCCGATTGCTCATCCTGTTGCTGAGGAAAAGGGAGCCTTGGCATACAGTGAGGGAGGATGCATCCTCAGACTATGACTGTGTATCTGACCCTGACCAATCCCTGAGTAGGATGACTCAGAGGGCATGGCTCAGGGCAGGTGATAAAAGGTTTGGGGACACTGTGCATAGGTCTCTTCCCCCCTGGAGGCCTCTCCCTAGGAGGTCTCTGTGTTACAGACGAATGGCCTGGGCCTCAGCACATGGCAGGTGCTGGGGACCTAGAGGCCTAGGACAATATAGGTACTTTGCTTGGGCCCCATACACATGGCAGGTGTTGGGTGCCCTGTTCTAAGAGGATACTACTACTAATCTGGAGTGCTCCTTGACAAGTGGCAGATGCTGAGGGCACAGAGATTCCAGATACTTCTGAGAAAGACCTGATGGAAGCTGGGCCAGAGGTGGAGTCTTCTTGTTGAGGGGTGCCGCAGAGGAGCTATTGAGAGCGACCGTCTGGGACCCACAAGAGAGATCCCTCACCCTATTCCAGGTACCTGTTCTAGAAGAAGCCAGCGGTCCCTACCTGAGTCCAGAGATAGGTACCCTTTTCCTATAAGTTACTGGACCATCCTGGCTGTTCACAGTGTTGTTAAAGAAACCATTGCTCACTCTGACTGGATCCCTTTGCTATGGGCCTTAGCGGTTGCTAGGGGAGAAAGCAGTCCTTTGAAGAATCCACCAGGGCATCCTACAGATCCTAAAACCTCTCTTCTGTTAACCTGTTAATGCAAATAAATCTACAAAAAGACCCTAAGACTGGAGTCCATTCTGTCCGTGAGTGTCGGTGTGCTGTTGCTAACCAAAGAGGGCCGGTGGCTGGAGCAAACAGGCAGGAGAACCTCAATTCATACACAGCGGCTCCTTCGGGGGTGAGCGCTACACTGGCTTGTGACCATTTGACTCTGCCTCATTCTCCTCCTCCTGATTCGGTACCTCTGCTCTCTGATCTCCTGTGTATGACCCTGGCTTACGTTTCCTGACCCTGTTCCTGATCTGTGATTCGGCACCTCAAGATTCAGCTCCCTGTGTATGACCTCGGCTTGAGCCTGACTTGCCTCCTGGTCTGCCACTTGGTGGATTGCTCCATCACCATCCTAAGCAACAACATCCTGCCAGTGCTTCCTTGGCCTCATACCCATTGCCTGCTCTGATTTCAAGAGGTCCCGGCGTCATCTTGGTCCTGCCGATTCACCAGCTGGTCCAACGCAGTATCGGCACCACTCCGCTCTGTCCTTACATCCCCTGTCACTACTTCCAGAGGTATGGGACTAGAGGTGCACGGGCCGCCCCCTTCTCAGCTGAGTCTCCAGTCAGGTACGTGATAATGTGGTCACATCCCTATTGCCTTTCACATGTTATATATATAGTACATAAATAAACTAAATTATTTGCAGTTACACAGAGACATTTCTACACTTTTATACATTTCGGGGAGGGGGGCGCAAAAATGCACCTTGCCTTTGTAGGCACGAATCCTAGCACCGGCCCTGAGTATACTGCAGGTTAGTGACCAAACCTGAGTCATTAGCTCTCCTCCAACTGTCCATCTGCCCCATATTGGTATTATGTCCATTAAGTTATGTTATTGGCAAGTACATATTTGCCATTTTGCCAAAGTAGGGCAAGGATTGGCCAGAGAGGGATCACTTCGAGACAGTTTCCCAACATGTAGTGCAATATACAGTACAGTATGCAAACCAAGAATTAATTACTAGAAATACGTAAGAGTATAAACAAGTGTGCAAAGAGTTGATTCAGAATTGTAATATTATATTTACACAGTAGTCATCATCCCAAAAACAAAAATATAATATAGTTCAGCTCACCAGTCCTTACATGTGAAGGCTGCATTCCTTCTTCTTTTTTCAGGTTTTATTTCTTTATGTTGACCTGGCGATCCTGCCAGTAACACACTTCCTGTCCTAGGATGGCAATGCTCACTCGCTGTAATGTATCTATGAGTCTCTTGCTCTGGCTCTGTCTGGCTTTCCTCCCAGCTCACTGACACCCACCACAGGTTGCTAAGAGCTGGGCAGTGAGATATGTATGGCCTTTACACCCGGTTTGTTAGCAACCTGAGATGCTCTGGCCAGAAAGGGGGCGGTAGGCATACTGCAAACATTGTGCACCAGAGTGGCAATGCCGCTCTGCTTGCCACCCCCCACCTTTAACTTGGACTACAGAATACCCTTCACTCCCTCTAAAACCAGAGGTGGTCAATTTAAAATGTCTGTATGCAATATTCAATGCCTTGAATAATAATACATTGAAAACACATTTTCCCCTTTATGTAATACATGAAATGTATACAAAACCCTTTAGATTTCCTTTAATAAATGAATACATCTTCACACTACAGCATACTCACCACTTTGATTGGTGATCTCTCCCGGTGGGCAGGGAACACACTGGAAACAACAGTTGGGCTTTCCAGTTAGAGCCGCTTTTCTGAAGCCTGGAGGACAACTCTCACTACAGACCGATGCAGGAACCTATAAAACAAAGGATTTTTCATTATATAGAAATGAACCCACACATACAATAAATATGTAACTATGCAAACAATGGGGATTAGTTATGAAGGGTCACAAAGCTGTCTACTCCCCTTTGTTTTTGAATTTTTGCTCTTCTATTCATAATTTTTTTTTCATTCAACTTTCACCCAGCATTACATAGTTACATAGTATTTGAGGTTGAATAAAGATATAAGTCCATCAAGTCCAAACTGTTGTGTGTGTGCGTGTGTGTGTATAGATCCATGAGTGTTCGCATTCATATGTTTTTTTCCCCCCAATAGAATCCAATTAGAAGAATGTGTGAATCTTGGGTGAAAATTGTGTGACTCTTGTGTAGAAATGTTTTTTAAATAGACACTGCACAAAATAATGGCTTATTGCACAGCCTTAGACAACCTCCTCTGTTTAAAGCAGACCTGAACTCGAAAGTGAAGAATTGTTGGAGAACATCTAGAAATGTACCAGTACCCTGAAAAAATACATTTTACATTTACATTCCTGCTGAAAAATAGCAGGACACTTCCTTTTCCTAGACCCGTCTGTTCTGTAGCTTCATAGCTCCATATTTGTATGGTATGATTGTACTGCTTCTTTTAACTGCTAGTCTCATAAGATTTGGAGTGAGATTTAGTAATGCCACTACTGTGCTGCTCAACCTTCTCTTTGCTGGTGTAGCCGCCATCATCTTCTGTGATGTGGCTACTAGACATTTAGTGATTGTTGGGCTGTAGTCAGCCTGGCTGGAATTATAGTGGCAGTTATCTGGTTAAATACAGGTGTCTGGCATTGCCTGTACCCCCCTGGGCTAAGAGTGACTCTGTCATATTGTGGGACAGCCAATGAGAGGCACTGTAGTGTATGTACAGTACAGCAGCCAATCACTGGGTTTCTCTCAACCAGTGGAGCATGCTGGGATAGGGTACATATACTGGTGAGATTTTCCATGTGCTCAGACTAACCAGGACCAACCATGGAATAGGGCTGGGTGCTTTTCAGCCTGCCCCCCAGGCTAGGCCTGAGGCCTAGGGGTGAGCATGGGCCGCTGTGAGGGAAAGGTTTCCCTGAGGCCTCCAACATGGAGGAGGCCTGTGTTGCTGTAAGAGGAAGAGACCCAGCACCAATGCTGGCTTTTAAAGTAAGAAGACACCGGGCGCCTGACCTGGTGCAATAATCCTTTATTGAAAAACTGTGTATAAAAACTTATACTCACAATAGAGCAAGGACACTGACACATTAGATTTGTAGTCCTCACTAGATGGACCACTGCACAAGGGTATGAATGTCCAGGAGCTCTACTCGTAGTGAGACTCACTGCCACTAAGCTGAACGCGTTTTCAGGGAACTTCCCCTTCATCGGAGCTAACTTAGCTCTGATGAAGGGGAAGTTCCCCGAAAAACGTGTGTTTTCGGGGCCGGGAACGTGTGTTTGCTGGCCGGGAAGCCAGCATGGAGCTGGCTTCCTGACCAATTAGGAACGCGTTCAGCTTAGTGGCAGTGAGTCTCACTACGAGTAGAGCTCCTGGACATTCATACCCTTGTGCAGCGGTCCATCTAGTGAGGACTACAAATCTAATGTGTCACTGTCCTTGCTCTATTGTGAGTATAAGTTTTTATACACAGTTTTTCAATAAAGGATTATTGCACCAGGTCAGGCGCCCGGTGTCTTCTTTCTTTTATGCAGTTCCGGGATCCCTTGTCTGTTGGGGGGCAGCCTACTGGATTTCTGTTAACTCCTTGAGCCACAGGAGGGCTTGTTTGATTGCATTTGGCGCTGGTCGTATAATCTATTTTCTGGCTTTTAAAGTACCCTGGAACTAAGAGGACTTAAGGAGCATGGTCGGTGCCTTTCCTGTTTGAGGATCTGTATCCATCCTGCTTATCTACTACATCAGTTGCTCTCCGCTGCCTCCCAAGTGGATCTACACTGATATGGCAACCATGTCTGGTGTCTTCACTCGGAGCTCTTTTGGTTACCCCTGGAAACTTAGAACCCCCATATCCTCTCTCCCCAGTTAAGATGTTCAATAAACCGTTATTTTGTATTATACTACTGGAGTGGACGTCAGTCTGTGGGCACTAGAAGAAGGGCGGTTAATGCTAATTCAGTGAGCAGCTTAGGAACATACCCTAGACAGACTAGAGATGAATTGGGCATTCAGCAGCTCCATCAGGGGTGAGCGCTACCCTGGAGAGGAAGCTTCATATATTCTGTACACCTATACTTCTTCCATGTCTCTTGCTGCTTCTTGATCAATAGCCCACTGGTCATCAGATCATCAGGTAGCTGACTACAGCTGACTAGATTATTGCCGAGGCTGGATCTGATTAGATCTGCACTGAATTCCATTGGACTTGCTATGTATGGACCAACCTGCAACAAGTGTGATTCGGGCTGTGCTCTCACTGCGTTAACTTCTACTTATGTGGTACCTCAAGGAATAGGAGGGGTACTAGAACCATATTCTCATAAACCTAGAGCTTTTCACTGCCACTTACCTTTTGCCTACCACTTGTCCATCTTAAAGCACTTGCATTAATTCTTAGTGTTGTTCTGTCATATTGTCCAACCAAGACACGGTTCACTAAATCCTCAGAGTTCATCTGCCAGTTTACAATATCATACATGGGAGGAGGGTCTCCATTGTTGTCGAAAAACATTTGATGCCCACTGTTTAACTTCACTCGGACGTTCTTTATATAGCGCAGAATCTGTAAGAATACAGTAAGTTCCAAAGCAAAATGATCATGGATGATGATCCATGAAAGATACCAAGCAGCATGAAAGACCGACAAGAGGCATTTAACTTGGAGCCCATTAATTACATATTTACAAAAGGTAATGAAGAGAGGGTGGTCATGTCTCTTTCCCTGTTTCCTCTACCTTTCTTTCTTGTTCTTCAATTCCCCCCAACAGCCAACTTTCAATGGTTTTCTTCTTCATATTCTCAGAAATTATAGTTATGAACTTAGAACCAGATTTTGGGTACACCCAATACAAATGAGTACAGTTACATTTCCACACCAATGAACAATCACAATAGAAGTGATATATCATACATGGCAACAATGTAATATGATACCCAATCTATGGTGAAGACTTATATAACTTCTGTTCTGTAATGTGCTGATGATAATTATGCATTATTACTACTAGGAATGCACCAATACCAGTATGGGTATCAGTGCCGATACCGAGTATTTGGACGAGTACTTGTACTCCCAAATTCTCCTGATGCCTAGCCCCTTGCCGGAACTTCCAGTATCAGGAAGCTGGGCAGTAAGTCATTACACGCTGACCGGGTTCCTGTTTGGCCAGGGAGCCGGCTCCATGCTCCTCCGTCACCAGGGAGCATGGAGCTGGCTTCCCAGCCAATCAGGAAGCCAGGGGGATGGGTAATGATTCACCCCCCCAGTTTCCTGATTGGCCGGGAAGCCGGTTGCATGCTCCCACATCACTTAGTGACGAAGGAGCATGGAGATTGCTTCCCAGCCAATCAGGAAGCCAGGGGGATGGGTAATGATTCACCCCCCCAGTTTCCTGATTGGCCGGGAAGCCGGTTGCATGCTCCCACATCACTTAGTGACGAAGGAGCATGGAGATGGCTTCCCAGCCAATCAGGAAGCCAGGGGCCGTGTAATGACTCGCTGCCTGGCTTCCTGATTGATAAGGAAGCTGGCCAATCAGGAAGCCAGGCGACAAATCATTACCCACCCCCAAGCTTCCTGCTTGGCCAGAAAGCCGGCTCCATGCTCCCTCGTCACCTGCAGTTTCGGTGCATCCCTATTTACTACCAACATTTGTAACTGTTCAAGAAGATGTTAAACCTAACACATTATAAACAACAAAGAAGGACCAATACAGTAAGTGCTACAGATGATTGAAGGTATTAAATATCTACGTAAATGTAGCACCGGTTCATGTGTATGTAAAAATAAAATATATATTGCAGCTTACATTCCCCATTATTCATTTTGTATCCCTTTATTTTTGCCTAATGATCCTACTAGTAACACACTTACTGTCCTAGGGTGACAACACTCAGCATACTCTATCCTTGGAGAAGCAGTACTGTCCCCCAGGAGAGGACTTCATACTGCAACACAGACAAAGAGCACAGGAAGTTATCAATTCATTGGTCTTTTGGCAGGACCCACAAGTAACTTTTGCACTTAGAAAACAGATATAACTAAATGCTTTTCATTGTATTTTTAACAGACCAAAAATAGAGCAAAAAAAGAGAAGCTCATTAGGGTTTACTTACACTTTAAGTCATGACCCAGTCACTCATAACTTGTCAAACCCTGATACATTACATTTTGTCAAACACTAGAACTTCACAAAGAAACTTCCCCAACCCAACAAGTGTCGGACCATGTATTCAAAATGTTGTACAAAAATAAGTTGCTAATCGCCAATCTTTGATTTTTGGGGGTTTATAGAAGTTTTTCTCATTGTTATATAGTTCATTATACTACAAACATCTTCATAAATCGGAGACTTCTTTGAAAATTGAGAGGACAGTTGTAAATAAATGTTTAATTCTTCCATGAACAAGAGTTAACGATTCCCAGACACCCAGGCCAACTTTGTCAGCGTCAATGTATGTTACTTAACTTGACAATAAGGCTTATTTTGTCAATAAAGCCTTCAGCCTAAATTTGATCACTATGGGGGTTATTCACAAAGCTGCAGAGGGCAGCCGAGTGAATAACCCAGCCGAAGTGAAGTGAGCCAAATGCTGTTCGGCTATTCACTTCCGGCTTGTACGGCTGTTTTCAACTTCAGGCTTGTACGGCTGCTCTGCAAGTTCAGTTGAGCCGAAGTGCTGAAGGACTTCGACTCAACATCTGGATCGGCTGAGGCGAAGCTCCGGCAGCTCACTTGCTGACATTTTCCCCTATTCTCATAGGGGCCCAACAGCAGTGAGTGAACCGCTGAATACCGCTGAGCGGCATCGGCTGGGCTATTCTGGTCGGTACCTCTGTGGTACCGAGCAAAATAGAAAATCAGTGAAAAGAGTTAAAAAAAATATTTTTAAAATGTAAACAAATAGTAAAAGTAAAAAAGAAATAAAGATGTTTTAAAAAAGAAAAAAATATATTTTAAAAAACCAAATGGGCGGAGCTAGCAGTCACAGCTCCACCCAACTGTTTCCTATTGGCCGGAACCTGCTAGAGTCTTCTAGCAGGTGCTGGCCAATGAACAACAACTGGGCAGAGCTGGCTATGACATCACGGCCAGCTCCGCACAGTTGTTATTGTTTAATGACAGATCAGTGTCCCCAGTCATTACAACTTGGTGGAACCAGCCGTGAGATAACGGGTGGCTCTGTCAAGCTATCATTTGCGGGGCTTACAGCCGGCTCTTGGCAGGCCGTTCTCCCCACTTCGGCTGTCACTTTGGCTCAGTCGAGCCGAAGCATATGCCTTCGGCTCGGCTGAGCCGCTTGGCTGCCTTCAGCGGCTGTACAGGCTATAGTGAATAGCCCATACAGCAGCCCTTCGGTTTGACCGGACAGGCAAAAGATCAGCCGAAGCTACAGCTGGATTCTTCGGCTCCTTCATGAATAACCCTGCATGTTTTAGCTGACTTAGTGATCACATGGTCAAGAGCTGCTCAGATGGTTAGTGGGAACCAAAACTGTCAGTAACAGCCAGGAATAAGAGCCACCTGTTACCCAAAGTGTTGGCTGATGTCTCTCAGAGGAAGGATATTTGTTAATGTGTCCCCAACATGAGTCATAATACTCGGGAAAATTATTACAAAGTCTGTGGGTGGGAAGAGTTTAAAGTTCAATTTTGTATTAGCCATTTAATATATCAGTCTCCTCTTATATTATCTTCATTGACATCATTATCAATCGTCAACTGTATCGTTCTTATTACCTGCCATGGTTTAAAATTCCAGACATCAGAGCAGCTACTGTTAATAAAATGATCATTTCCTGGCCTACAGACACTCAGTTGATGCAAAGCCGTGGCTACAGCAAAAATAGCACTGTAAAGGTTATAGACAATCCTTAAACCAGATATACGTTTTAAATAAATCTGAAAATCGTCCACTTTATCTTTCTCTGTGCAGTTTCTTGAGGGTCTCTCTCGAGGGAATGAGACATTTTCAAAGTTGAGAAAGGCACAACCAACACTGTCTTCCCAGAACATCCAATTCCAAGCCCATTCTGGAAGCTCTGAGGGATTGACATGGTCAAGGTATTGTTTGAGCCCAGGGATATTTCCACTGTAGAAGGCAAAACCAATGGTTCCAGCAAGAATCTTGGAATATTTTTCAGACGTTAACAATGATGATGTTGACCATGCTTCGCTGGCCACCCATGTCTTCTCTGTTATGTTTTGTTTCAAAAGTTGATCCAGTATGGTAAGGAGATAGACATCAGTGGAGAAAACAACTATAGCTTGGGCAGTTGAATCTTTAATGACCTGAGATATTTGAAGAATGTTATGATTGGGTCGACTAGGCTGAATGTACAATGTAAACTCAACACAGGCCCCGGATTTGAGAATCTCTTGCTTAATGACCTGAATGCCTTGTTGTCCGTAGTCATTAGCCAGAGCCACCAAGCCAACCCACGTCCAGCCAAAATGTAACACTAACTGGGCCAGACCTTTGGATTGAAATGCATCACTTGGCACAGTCCTGAAAAATGATGCAAACTGTGTTCTGTCACTCAGAAGAGAACTTGTTGAGAAGTGGCTTATCTGTGGGATAGAAATATTGCATGTCATGTACTGCTTCAAAAACAAGCACATGATTATAAAACAGATAAACATACAGGTTTGTGACTTTGGCCTTATAGAATGCTGATGGGTAAAGTAGGCTTTATCGTCAGGCTATAAATCTCGGACTACACTATGGGGGTTATTCACTATTGAGCCTGAAGGATACAACTGTAGCTTTGGCTGATCCTTTGGCTCTCTTCGGCCGCCTCTGCCCTTTGGTTCAGTCGAAGGGCTGTTGTACGGGCTATTCACAATAGCCCATACCTACACGTACACAATAGCCCAATAGCCGCTATTCACAATAGCCGAAGGCCGGCCGTTGTCCCCACAAATGACAGCTGGGCAGAGCCAGCCGTGATCTCACGGCTGGCTCCACCCAGTTGTAATGACAGATCAGCGTCCCCAAATAACCTTGGGACGCTGATCTGTCATTAAACAATAAAAACTGGGTGGAGCCGGCCGTGACGTCATGGCCGGCTCCGCCCAGTTGTTATTCTTTGGCCAAGACCGGCTAGAAGAATCTAGCAGGTGTTGGCCAATAGGAAACAGTTGGGCGGAGCTAGCTGTCACTGCTATCTCCGTCCATTTTTTTCTTTTTCTTTAAAATATCTTTATTTTTTTAATTTGACTATTTATTTACATTTGAAAAATATTTTTTCAACCTTTTTTTTTAAAACTCTTTTCATTGATTTTCTACTCTGCTCGGTACCATGGATGTATTGAGCAGAAATGCTGAGCCGAATTCCGCTCTGCGGCATTCGGCTATTCACTCACTGTGGTTCGGCCCCTATGAGAAAAGAGGTGAAAGGCAGCGAGTGAGCTGCCGGAGCTTCAGCTCAGCCGATCCAGATGTTGGATGTGAGTCGAAGTTAATCTCTTGCTTAATGACCTGAATGCCTTGTTGTCCGTAGTCATTAGCCAGAGCCACCAAGCCAACCCACGTCCAGCCAAAATGTAACACTAACTGGGCCAGACCTTTGGATTGAAATGCATCACTTGGCACAGTCCTGAAAAATGATGCAAACTGTGTTCTGTCACTCAGAAGAGAACTTGTTGAGAAGTGGCTTATCTGTGGGATAGAAATATTGCATGTCATGTACTGCTTCAAAAACAAGCACATGATTATAAAACAGATAAACATACAGGTTTGTGACTTTGGCCTTATAGAATGCTGATGGGTAAAGTAGGCTTTATCGTCAGGCTATAAATCTCGGACTACACTATGGGGGTTATTCACTATTGAGCCTGAAGGATACAACTGTAGCTTTGGCTGATCCTTTGGCTCTCTTCGGCCGCCTCTGCCCTTTGGTTCAGTCGAAGGGCTGTTGTACGGGCTATTCACAATAGCCCATACCTACACGTACACAATAGCCCAATAGCCGCTATTCACAATAGCCGAAGGCCGGCCGTTGTCCCCACAAATGACAGCTGGGCAGAGCCAGCCGTGATCTCACGGCTGGCTCCACCCAGTTGTAATGACAGATCAGCGTCCCCAAATAACCTTGGGACGCTGATCTGTCATTAAACAATAAAAACTGGGTGGAGCCGGCCGTGACGTCATGGCCGGCTCCGCCCAGTTGTTATCCTTTGGCCAAGACCGGCTAGAAGAATCTAGCAGGTGTTGGCCAATAGGAAACAGTTGGGCGGAGCTAGCTGTCACTGCTATCTCCGTCCATTTTTTTCTTTTTCTTTAAAATATCTTTATTTTTTTAATTTGACTATTTTGTATAATTTTTTAAATAATTTTATAAATATTTTTATTGCCCTTCTTTTCACTATTTTCTATTTGGCTATGCTGCTTGGTACCGAGCAGCATAGCCAAATGCCGCATGCAGCCGAAGGCAGCCGATGTACGGAGAGAATAGCCAAACCCCGTTCGGCTCACTTCACTTTGGCTGGGTTATTCTCTCGGCTGCCTCTGGCAGCTTTGTGAATAACCCCCTATAAGTTGTCTAAAGTGTGTTGAAATGCTGAGCATTTAAAACTTGACTCCATCCTACATTAAATATGATATTTCAAAGCATGGTCAGAAGACCTCAAACTTTGTATTATTACTTTTGTTGTTGTTGAGAACTGATAGGTAATGGCTGGGGGATTGAAGATTTATAAGGCAATGAACTGCCATGGAATAATGTGCTTACTTAATATCATTTGTGGTAGGAATTGGTTTTCCTGACTTGTAGAATCTAAGTAGTGCCTACTCAACTCTGTGAAACTTTAAGGTCACAGCTCTCATGTGTGCGCCATTGCTGATGTATGCCATAGTAGTGAAATATTAAAGTATATCTATATCTTTAGAATGGGGAAAGATCAGAACTCCTGTCAGGTTTTATCGGAGCCAGAAGCTCCGTTGAGGAGGTTCTTTCACTTCCTGTCTGGTAAAAAGGTTGTCCCCAGAACAGAAGGTGAGGGAAAATCTATTTAATTGAGCTCCAGATAGCAATAAAACCTGGAAGGGGTTCTAACTTACTCAATTATATCCAAAGCAGATAAAAAAGAGTTTTGGAGTAGAGATAGAGACACTTTAAATTCTCAGTCAAGAGAATATTCAATAAACATAAAAAGGTTAGAGAAATCAACATCCACAGAAGGCCAAGGCAGACAGAAGATAGAAAGACAACAGGAACCAGAAAAGAAAGGACTCGTTTAGGGAACACAATGTACCTGGTAGGAAAAAAGACGGAAGCTGGACCAATGGCAGGAGCCAAGCCATTACAGTGAACTTCTCTTATTTGCTCCCTTTTGGTCTATTTTATATATATAAATGGAGGCATTTTGTTATATCCGTTTGATGAATGCAAATAAAATTGATGATCTTGGTCAGAAAATCATAACTGTCCGGTATCCTCTGTACACTTTCTGTGTTTTCTTAAATGGCCCTCCAAGTTCTTATTTTAGAGTACAAAATAATACAATAGAAAATGTTCCCTACCAAACACTATGGAAGACAGCAATCACCAGCACTCAAAAGGTAATGTTCAAATGGTAACTTCCATTTATTCGGACAAATCGTCACATATATCGCAGTAAATCGGTTACTGCTATATGTGTGATGATTTGTCCGAATAAATGGACGTTACCATTTGAACATTACCTATTGAGTGCTGGTGATTCCTGTCTTCCATTGTTTGTTCTGTACGGCGCCATCCGTGTTTGTCACTACGAGCACCACCATTGTGATTTGGGCCAGAGACGCTGTAAGGAGTGTAGGGGGACCTACTGTGTTCCCCTAGCACACACTGTCACACCAAGGCACCTCTGTAAAGTGTGGTTCCTAGCTCATGTTTAACAGAGATCCCAACTTGAAACATATATTGAGATATATTAATGATTAACCCGAGAGCAGGCATGCCTTGAAGGTAGCCCCATCCTCCTTAAACGTGTAGAGGCACAGCAGTAACCAACAACCTGTCCATACCAGCTGAAGACCACTAGTGTCTATTTGCCTAAATCCAATAAGCAAAATAAAAATGGCTACCACTCAGGTAAATGTATAGATCTTTTAGATTGTAAGCCCTCAGGGGCAGGGCCCTCCTTAGCATCTTGTCTTGAAATGCATTGTGATTGTAATGTCTTCCTTATATTGTAAAGCGCTGAGCAAACTGTTGGCGCTATATAAATCCTGTATTATAATAATAATAATAATACCTACTAAGTACAATAACAAGTTTCAAATAATTTGAGTTAAAACTGAATATTTTGTTGCATGCACTTACAGATACATAAAGGCAGGGCTGGCCCTAAGGCATTCAGTGAGCTGGGCGGGAAGCCACACAGACTGTCACAAGTTGCTAAGAGCCCTTAGCAACTTGGGATGCTGTGGTGGCACCCCATCACATTAAAAAATAAAAACAGATTAAAAAAGAAAAAGACTCTCTAGAGCAGAGCTAGTTTAGACCACAAAATATCTTACTTGTGGATACCTGCTTAGCCCAAGTATGTGAGCCATTAGAATGGAGTATGTAGAGGTGGCGTGTCCAATGATGGCCGCCAGTTTCTCTTTTCTCTGGCATTGAAAGTTGGGAATAGCTCGGCTCTGCCCCGTCAGCATCCATAAAGTTCCCTCCAGCTCCCTTTGAAGCGTAGAGCAGGAATCATAAACCTGGAAGCCTAATGTGATGTTTGGGAGGATCTCAGAGCTGTTGTTAATCTCCATAGTGGCAAATTTTACAACTTGTACCTGAAGGAAAGTCTCCGGAGACAATCTGTAGGAGTAAACATGAGACCAGAGCGTTACTTCTTTAGAGTTAGACTATGTCAATATATTTACAAAGGGAAGTTGTTTACCGTTTTTACAGTTCTTAGTTTCCATTGGAGGGCTAAAAGCTGCTGATTTTTCAACTATTCATATTTAAGCTTCACAAAACATAGCGCAGCAGCTCTCACATTGCACCCCGTCCAGAAGCGCAGATTTTACATTGTTTCATATTTAAGCTTGTTTTTTATTTATTCTGATTTTTTTATATATCACATTAAAAAAGTGCTAATTTAAAAAAAAAAACTGTATTTCTTTTGTAAATATCTTTTCAGTGCTTTGTGACATTGTACTTTTAGTACCATTTTAAAAGGAACAAATGATAAAATAAAATGTATACTTTATGTCTACACGAATGCTATTTATTTTTACCAAGCACAGATCAAAGTGGAGAAAAAAAGTGTTGTTTTTAACATTTTGTTAAAAAAAATTCTATGGATCGCATAAAAACTAAAAAAAAATTGCAAAACAATATAAGCGAAAAAAAGCCTTTTTTTTATACTACAACAAAAATCAAACAGAAAAGTATTACTTTGTTATCTTGTATAATTACAATGTTGCGGTTGAATCAACAGGCCCACAGCATAAATGTAAAGACTGGTCCATACAGGTGTGAGAACTGAAGTGGTTTAGGGTGGCCATAGCTGTAAGCTGGTGTAACACGGGAATATACAGTAAATTTGTGTAGTAAAAGAATTTTAAGCCACAAAAAAACACAATAAAAGCAGAATAAACAAACAAATCTCTTACTTTTTACATACAACTTGCTTTGGTTTCTCATTGTAAGACAGTTTGGGGTAAATTTTCTCTATGTGGAGGGGTAAAACTGCCCCGAATAAGACATCCCCCCTCACTGAAATGCCTGTAAGTTCAGGAGTCTCCAGTGTGCAGCATTGTCCATTAGAATATGAAGCCGGAACAAGGTAATGAAGGATGAGATGCCACAAAGTCTGGTGGATGAAGGTCACCAACCTGGAACCAGAGTGAGAAAAGATGTTTCTTGGTCTTGGTTTATTGATATATAAGCTGTCGGTAATGGGAGTGCAATGAACTCCCAGTTCAAAGAGCAATTACCTGTGCTAAGGTCCCCATCACACTTACCTTCCTGTATCCGCAAACCTAACACAACAGTTATGACATGGTGATCACATTGGGTTTGTTTATAGACAAACCAGCTGGCTAACCGTCACAGAGCCTTGCACAGGTCAGAGTTCAGATTTAAAGTTCATGTTCAGCCAACACTTTTCTTTTCATTAGGGAAGGGATAGAACCACGGTCGTGTTTTACTGCTTCTCCAGGGCTCCCTTCCCCTCACTTCCTGACAAAATTCCACCAGAAAGGAAGTGAAGGGAGCCCTCTAGCAGCATAACAGACAGAAATCTTCCTAATAGGAAATCCATCCATAGTTTTTCATTATTCTAGCAATCAGTTGGGGGAATGGGAGGGAGATTATCTTTATCCCGCAGATGGGCTTTAAAGTGACAAGGTCATTCAGCCTGATATAATCCTAAAGGCAATAGAAGTTATCATACTCATGTCTCCGGAGGTCATGGCTCGTACCTCCCCACCAGTCCAGTGCTCCTACCTTTCATCCCATTGTCCCTTCTCCAGCCTGTTCCTCTATAAAAGTCTAAAGTTGGGAGGTTGGCTGATGACTATGGTCACCAGGATCAAAAAACGAGGGTGAGTCTTCCCAATGGTGACACAGACAGCAATGACAAAACAACACAGGTTCTAATCCTTCCATGTGCTTTAAAAGAACAAAAATGGCTTTTTCACTGAGAGCTCATTGACATACCAACATGTAGCACACGTCTTACCTCATTGTACTTAACTCCTGGGTACATGTTACAGTGATGTTATCTTATATATAGGACAGAACGTCTTCTACTGATGGCAATCCAGATCTATGGGGATGTGCTATCAATCAGCCTTTGTTACCACCGGGAGCGCCTGTCACTGGTCTCTGTACACACAATGTCAAAATAGACAATTCCCTCTGTGCAGTTAATGGAAGAAAATGAGATAAAAAGAGACAGTTAACTCAATGTATCCTAAGGTTGAAAATAATGACCCCAGAGGGACTTAAAGTCCATCTCCACCTTTGTAAGTGATTTGCATTTATTGTGCACATTTTCTTGACTCACATTTTAGGCTTTCTTCGTTTTGTTAATGAATGTTTTATTAGGCCTGAACCCAGAGCCGTAGCTAGCCCCTTTTGCGTCCGAGGCAAGAACAGAAAATTGTACCCCCCAACAGACGTGTTATGTGACCCGACGCCGCACACGCACGACGTCATGCATCCTGCTTCCTGGATGGTGGCACGCATGCGCAGAGTGCGCTGGTGGCCAAATCCAAAATAGCATAAAAATTTGTTTTGTTTGACGAAACTAATGAAAACATTTGTAGTTTCCGTTCATTTAGTCCGAAACAAATTTTTAGTCTTTGCACATGTCTAATAATATGTGTTCATGAGTGTGTCTTATTTTATTTTATTTTATTTTTTACTGTTGGGGGGCTTCGGGGGAAATATTGGGGGTCTAAACAGACCCCTGCCATTTCCCTTTAGAAACAGAACAAGAGACTGAGGACACAGATTCCTCTGCCCATACAGGCGGGGGAGAGCAGCGGGGATCCAAGGAGAAGCTGGAGCCTGTTCCGCTCATCTTCTCACCTGCCGAACCGTGGCTGTATTGGCCGCCTGGCACCCCTGCAGGGAAGGGGATCCTTTGAGACCCCAAAATGTTGCATGGAGTACATTTATGCTGCATTTACGTCAATAAACAGACGTTTATGATTTGCAATTGTGCCGGTGTCTCACTTATTACTTTAATCGTGACGGTTGCCAGCCGTCTACAGCTGCAGCACCCTATTCTACTACTTGGAGAAAGCGGTTTTGAGTGCTATGGGTTCACTGACTGTATCCTGTTGCAAGGGGGGTGCAGCCAGGCCAGCCATGACTACACCTCCTCTCAGCTGCACCTGAGGTGTGTGCCTCACTCGCCCAATGGTAGCTACAGCCCTGCCTGAAGAATAAAAGTTGCTCCACGGGAAAATCAGTCAGACACCAGGGTCGGATGGTAATTATGAATACTAATGAATAGCATAGCTCAGAAAGAGCTTGCACGACACAGAGGCAGCCATCCATGATGATCTGAAGAGGAAAGCTAACAAAAAAAGTAAGTTTGTGTGTTCCTATAGAGTAGCTGCATATGCCTGCTTCATGTTCACTCTGTGTACATTGCTGCCATATGGTTTTTTTTAAAGGACCTCCACAAAGGTGGAAATGGGCTTTAAAGTAGTTTTAAATGCTAAAACTTCTCAAGCTTCCCTGAACTTCTTGTCCAGTACAAGGTCACAAAGGAAAGAGCAGTCTCTAGCAGCCATCCATCTACCAGTATGAAGAGGGGAAGAAGATGGAATAGGGAGATGGAAAATGGCTTCCTTGCTGTTTCTATGTTGTTTGTGGAGACACACAGCGTACTAGCACACACAAACACATGTGACTACTTTACAACACCATGGGGAACAAAAGTAGCCACCCTCCAGCCACCCTTAGTGTCAGCACCAATTCGGAGATGATTGGAGGGTCTACAGCCGACTGACACACAAATAAGATACATTGTTGTTCATAGTTAAGGTACTTGAATATATTTTAAAGATTTAACTCCTGAGTTTAGTGTCATATTAAATTTAGGTATGTAGTTTGTCTTTTTTTAATATTTGCTGGAGGGGGATGACAACTGAGGTGAGTTGGACTTTAACACCCCCACCCACCCATCCTCAGCCCCATCGTTTATATTTTGCTGTCTGTGACATGTTAGGGAGATTTAGCTTACCATTTTAGAATCCTCTGTCACCTTCTGTCCCAGAACCATTGGTCACCAGGATGAATAGTGAGACTGCATCTTCCCAGGTGGGACAGACAACCATTAAAACCTTTCACGTTCCATCGAAGAGTCTAAAAGGTTTTGACTAGTGACACACTTTAAAGGACACAAGAACCGTAGAAACAAAAGCAAAACAAAACAAAAAGAAACTGAAATCTTCTGTGGTTGCTGAGTATTTCACGATTCACCACAACTTCCCTTTCTATTATTTAACCAAGAAAGCTCCAATTAGAGATTCACAGGTCTGGGCATATTTAGTTCATTCTCTGCAACTTTGCGGTCCAGCATCATAGTTACATAGTCAGTCAGGTTGAAAAAAAGACACAAGTCCATCAAGTCCAACCTATAGAGATATAAAAAAAATAAAAAGCTTAAACAGATCGCTGTGCCCACAGTTACCCCCTGTTGATCCAGAGTAGGGCAAAAAAAAACAATAAAGCAAGGTTCAATTTACTCCAACAGGGGGGGGGGGAATTCTTCCCCAGGATCAACAATCTCTTAATATACCTATAAGACATCAATATCCAGTAATATTCTGTACATTTAGGAATGCATCCAGTTAAATCACGTCCGGTTCCTGCGCCTGATGAGATAGCGGCTCTCCCGTCTCCTCCATCCCGCTGTACACCTGTTTCAACCTCTGACTCCTCGCCACATGAACCGGCAACACCATTCTGACTACTCAACCCCGCTGCCCGACATGGACAAGTTAGTCTCCCGGCCGCAGTCCGCACGCCGCTCACTGACGGACAGCATAGGGGGAGAACATGTTGCAGCCAAGATGGCGCTGACTGTGGATACAGCACACAGTGCCACGGAGGAATCTGAAAACGATATGCAGGTACAACCCTCGCAATCCCTCTGCCCCATTGACTATACTAAACTGGCTTCTGAGGTAGCCTCTCACCTGAAGCAAGACATTTCCGTCATTGTTGCTGAAGCCATTAAACTACACCTGGGTACATTATCATCTGCCCTGGACTCTCACCACAAACGGATGTCCTCAGTAGAACAATGCACCGACAGCCTAGAGTGTGGCATGGCAGACAACGGTACCTACCTTAAAGCCGCCTCGCACAAGATGCTTGCGATTACAGAGAAGTTAGATGACCTGGAAAATAGGTCTCGCCGAAATAACTTGCGGGTCATCGGCCTACCTGAGTCAGTGAAACCAGGCGACCTTCTTCCATTTTGTGCGGAGTCAATCCCCGGGGCACTGGGCTTCTTACACTCCTGTACAGTGGAAAGGGCCCACAGGCTGGGTCCCTTCAGAGATGATAACAGGCTAAGACCGGTCATTGTACGCTACTTGAACTTTGCCACCAAACATCAAATGTTTCAATCGTACCGTTCATAGAGGAACCTTGTGGCAGGTGGTCACAAAATCCTACTATTTGCGGACTACTCTGCGGAGCTCACCAAACGCAGAAAATCTTTTCTGGAGGTCTGCCAAGCCCTAGTACAGCAAAGGGTTAAATTTGCTCTGGCATACCGTGCTACACTGCGCATCACAGGCCCAGATGGTACTGTCTCCTCTCTCTCCTTTCCGGAGAAAGCACACGCCTTCCTTCAGAACATGGCGACCACTAGCTCCTCCTCCTCTATCAAGAGCCCCCCGCGGAAGAAAAGATCTGATGCTACTCCGTGAGACCCCTGGCCCCGACGGCCTGCCTAGTGAATTCTATAAAATCCTGCTTGAGGAAACCCCTCAAATCTTAACCCCACTATTCAATCACATAATGCACATCTCGGTCTACCCGCCCACATTTAACCAAGCCTATATAAGACTGTTGCCAAAAAAAGGTAAAGACCCCCTTCAAGCTGGTTCATACAGACCAATTTAATTGCTTAACCAAGGCGCCAAATCTCTCTCTAAAATTATGGCCGATAGGCTGGCCAAGATCCTGCCTCGTCTCATTGGACCCAATCAGTCGGGTTTTGTACAGGGTCATTCTGCAGGCGTGAACGTCAGGAAAAACATCCTGGCTATGGAGTACGCCAGATTGTCAAAACCTTCCCCGCACCCTATAGCTCTATTATCCCTGGATGCGGAGAAAGCCTTTGACAATGTCAGTTGGCTCTGGCTACTAAAGGTAATGGAGAAGATGGGCTTCTCAGGTGCATTTCTCAATTTGTATTCGGCCCCCTCAGCACAAATCTTTACCTCCACCTTACTCCCCTCACCGTTCACACTTCAGAAAGGCACTTGCCAAGGATGCCCCCTCTCCCCACTACTTTTTAACATTGCGCTATAACCCCTATCTAGATCACTTACTAATTCCGCCACATTTACAGGCCTTCGGATAGGCACTGAGGAGTTTAAAGTTGCGATGTTTGCAGATGATATAATTCTCCTCCTGTCACAACCCAGGGCCCAAATCCCAAAAGTATTTGAACACATTAAACTGTTTGGTGAATTTTCGGGATTGAAAATTAATATTGAGACGAGCGAGTTAATGTACCTTAACGGCCCCTGTCCTAAAACCGATTCACATTGGATCAAAAGCTTTGGCCTACACTTACAGACCCAACACATTACCTACTTAGGTATCCAGTCACTCCCCTGTTACGCCTCCCTGCAGTGACAGGATCGAGAAGTGAGCGAGCGCCGGTATGTGTTCGCTCACTTCCCGATCTACTGAGCCGACCTGTGACAGTTTCATTGTCACAGGTCGGCTCAGATTTTGAGGCCGAGTGAAAATCACTCGCCTCATAGTTCTCCTTTAAGGGTTGTGCACACCTGTGCAATCATCGGGTGCTGGCCACTGCTAAAGCCTGTATCTGGGCCTGGGGATCTCATCCCTCCTGAATCACCATGAAACCTCCCAGTTCCAGGATCTCAAATGTAATCCCGACAAACCCTTGCTTCCTGACACGTCTCAGCCCATCTGGCTAAGAGTCCCAGGTGATCAGAATTAGAAGTGCACTCCTAATT